ACTTTGAAGTATATTTCCAGGCAGCTGCGGTCAAAAGCAAAAAAATAATTTTTAAATACAGGTAGTCCTTGACTTACAACAGTTCACTGTTACAACAGCACTGAAAAAAGCATAATAACAATTCAGCATCCCACAAGAGAAACTGTGGAAGGACATTTTTCTGATGAGTACAAAGTGACTGCAGCAACCTAGAACACCAGAAAAAAGAAACAGACCAACATCTTCCAACACAATGAATGTGACTTTATCAAAATGCACCTGACCACACAACCCACTGCAGCATGGCCGTCACAAGATGTGAAAAGGGCAACACTACTAAACATAAAAAAAAAACATCTCGGAAACATCCACCAGACTATTACAACCAGATGGCACAAACCACAGCACACAAATCAACTAAAGCTCCCAAAACAGCTTATGTAAACCAACAGATCACCAGCACCAGAAGAAAAAATTGAGCCCAAAATTTATGTATGTAGGATAGAAAGGCAAAAGACTAGTAAATCACATTCATGAACACCAACTAGCGGTCAGAAGAAATGATTAAAAAGTCCTTAATCTCACAACGTATGGACAGACTCAACCATAGCTTCATAACAGAAACTGTGAGCATTCTAGACCAAGCAAATCCAAAAATTTTAGAGAATTCTGAGAAGCCTGCCACTCAGAGAAATCAGTTATCAACAGGCACATAGAGATAAACCACATTTACCCATCGGTCAAAAGAGACAATCGAAAAGCAAAGGAAACAAAAAGAGCAGAATGCATGCTCTCCAGCGAACAGCAACCAGATAAGCAGGGCTTAGCACCAGACACACAATCAAGAAGAAAACCATACCTTAATCAGGAAAAATATCAAGGAGAAAGCCACAACCCTACCAACACTAGCAGGCCAAGCTATTGTATATGAAAAGGGAGCCAAAACCACACTGACTAGCACTGATGTTACCTAGGATAACAAAACATTTGCAAGCAAAGAACCAAGCTCAGAAGCACCAAGGACAGCACAATTTCAAATTTGTATGATATCAATTCAGGGAGCTGAATTCTAATTAATAGAACACCATAATATAAAAAGGGTGGGGGGGGAGGATTTTGTATGTCGTGTGAATTCATCCTTAGCATTAAATGGGACTATGAACACAGCTTCCAAAGCTGGCTTTTACGGGCCATTAATCACAGCAAAGCATGCAGAAAGTTAAAATGTCACATAAAATACCGATGATCATCAAGGCTGCCTTTTAAGTTAAGGGTACAGAGAATCATTTTGTTACAAGAAAACATAAACTGAATTTATATTGGGTGTTCTACATCAATTCTCCCGGCCAAAGGGCCAACATCACAAGATAATATAACAAGGCAAGTTGTGCCAAATATAAACTCCAACATCTCAAAGAGAATTCTGTGGATGATGCCCAACTAGGAAAAATGAATTCAACCTCTCCATCTAATCCAGTTTTTTTTTCAAATTTGGCAATTGAACCGATTAAATAATAATAATTATGTAATAAATAATAATAGAATACGAGAGTTAGAAGGGACTTTGGAGGTCTTCTAGTCCAACCCCTGTTCAGGCAGGAAACCCTATACCATTTTCAGACAAATGGCTGTCCAGCCTCTTCTTAAAAACCTCCAGCAATCACAGCTTTGGGAGGCTAGTTGTTCCAGTGGTTTATTGTTATAACTGTCAGGAAATTTCTCCTTCAAGGAGAGGTTGGGGAGGGCAACTTTAAGCGAGGAGGGCTTCAGCACCCAGGATTCCCCAGACAGTGGAAAAACACTGATCTCGCCCAGGATGAAAAAATTCCCTTGCTTTTATAAGCATAGAGCAATGACTTCTATTTCTTTTTAATATTCAGTTTTCCTCCTTTGATCTGTTGATCTCCCTGGTAAAAGTCCTGCTTTTCTACATCACGGTCTTGGTTTGTTAGGATTCTGCAGGGGCAAAGCCACCTAAAGAGCCCCGTTGAAAAGGGGGGTGGATCTGAAGAGGGGATCCACCCCGTGCCTTCAATATCGACTGTCACTAAAGGATCTCATCGGAGGATCCCCAAGGATGCTGGGTTTTCTTCTCTTTTCGTCTTCTTATTTTCTTTTCCAAAAGGCAACTGGACTGAAAACAAAACCCAGCTGCCTTTTGAAGGGGGAGCGGGGGTGGGTGGGTGGGGGTGGAAAGCACCTTTGGGATCACCACGACCTGAGGATCTCCAGAGATCCCACCAGATCCCTGCCAGCAAGAGCGCCCGGACCTGCTTCTCCTTCGGGCTCAGCCAAGCTGGGGAGCAGCAGGTGCCGGACTACAACTCCCATCCTCCTCCTCCTCCTCCTCCCCACCCTCCTCCCAGAGCCCCCCTACACACACACACACACACACACCGATCCCGGGGGCGCCAGGTTGGGGGGAGGCGGGGGCTTCCTTCCCCTCCGGCGTCGTCAAGGGGGGAGCCCGCCTGGCACTGCCGGAGAGACCCCTCCCCACAACCCGCGGGCTGCCGTCCTCCGCACTCACCGGACTCCCCGCCTGGCTGGGGGGGGGCGGTGTGGGGGGGGGCGGGAGGGAAACGAAGCTCCGCCTCGCCGCTGGTTCCGTTTCCGGCGCGGGGAGAGACAGAGAGGGAGAGAGGTTCCCACCGGGGTCCGCTCTCCCCGTTCCTTTTCCCTGGCGCTGGCATTGGCAGCGGCCGCCGCTGTCAACAAACCCTTACGTCACTTCCGGCAGCCATGCCTTTCCATCGGTTTCTTTCTCTCCCCCCCCCTCTCGCGTACTTAGGGGTGCAGCGAGAAAAGCCTCCCCCCACCCCAAAAAAAAATCACTCCGGGAAACAGAGGCGGATACCAGGGAGTTCCGCCGCACTTCCTCGCCACCAAGAAGCCCACCTCACCTCCTGGGGGGCGGGTGGGGGCTGATGGGGGTTGTAGTCCAACCCCTGAAGTTGCCCTGGAATGAGCTCATAATCCTCCCCCCCCCCCTCATCCCCCCCACCCAAGGATTATGGGGCCGTTAGAGAATCCTTGGGCTACCTACAGGGGAAGGAAGGCAGCCTCGGGATTGTGATAGGCAATTCCCCCCCTTTGTTTAGGTTGAAGAGAAAAGAGGGTTTTTTTTTCCTTAAGGGGAGGAGAAGGTCAGCCCCAACTGCTTAGGAGGTGTGTGGTCAGAAGCCCCTCTCTGCCCTCAGAAGGATGTATTTTGCACCCATGACCCCGGCTGAGCAGCCTCCAAGGGCAGCCCTGCCTAAGGCGCATTGCAGTAATCCAGGTACCTTTTGCTTGATCGCACTTTATAAGAGCTGCTTCAATTGTTTCCTCCTTCAAATGTTTGGAGAGGTACATCTGTTGGACAGCAGCACCAACAGTCAGACAGACACTGAATGGATAGATTGACAGATATAGAATAGATAGATAGAACACATAAACAGATGGATAGATCGATCACTATACAGAAGACATGGATAAGATGGATGGATGGATAGACAGACAGACAGACGATAGATAAGATGGATGGATGGACAGATAAGAGAGATGACATGGCTGGACAGAGAACATAGATAAGATGTATGTATGTACGTATGTATAGCTGGATGGATGGATGAATAGATAGACAACATGGATAAGATGTATGGAGGATGGATGGATGGGTGGGTAAGTAGGTAGGTAGGTGGATGGACAGATGGATAGATTGCTCTCTTACACACATCTACATAAGTACAAGATATATACATTCAAACATGTATACCGTATATATTTTTGCCATCTGATATTTTATTGATTTATTTATCAAATTTTTACACTATCCATCTCACCTAAGTGAGTCTGGGTGTTGTTTACAAACAACGTAATAAAATAATATAAAAATATGACTAAAACACAGTGCTGTAAATGTCTTAGCCAAACTATTTTGCCTCTATGGGGCCTTTAATGAATAATATATAGTGTTATATTATTGTAACAACTGAATGATCAGTATTTGCAAACACAATCCCTAGTGTACAAAAAGCAATGAAAACAAAGCCTACAGCCATATTGTTTATTAGTATTATGCATATGAAGTATAATGTATAATTAATATATAAATTGTTATGCATCTTATCTTATACAATATGTAAATTGGAAATTGCTTTCCCTGTTGATCAGAAATGGTACTAGATACTGATCAAAGATCACGGGGTCCAGGGATTGACTCCCAAACAGAGTTCCCCATTTATCTGGGGTGGCTAGACTCCTTATCCCATTATCCCCACCCCAAAAATCCTCCCTCTTTTTGTTTTATTATTTAGAAAGAAGCACTTATTGCTCTTCCCGTAAAAATTGCTTGTAATATTTTAGGAGGGATCACAAAGTCAGTTTGGCCATCAGGCTTAGGTGTAACGATTGCTTGTTGACATGTAACTCGACGTACGGTTTAAATCCAACAATGATGGCTTGAGAATCATAGTTTGGATCTCCTGACCACACAGATCCAGCTAAGATCACAAACAGCCAAAATGAATGTACTTAAGTAGTTGCATTTTGGCTCATGGTTGCTGGGGGAGTCCAGCGGGGAGGATGGGAATTATAGTCCACGTTCCGAAATGGAACCCTGGAACCCTACCCACCACAAGAGAGGATGCTGGCTGTGGAGTATAGGCAATGAAGTCCAGGCTCTGCCAAGACAGCAGGAACTTTGCCAGATGTGGAGCATAGGCCTCGGAGTCCTGGCCCCCAGGGGGGAAAAAAGTGGGGGGAAAGTCTGTGCTGGCTTGGAGCAATAGGCAAGGGGAGTCCCAAGTTCCCCCGCAAGACAGTGGGCACTTTTCCAGCTGTGGAGCATGGGCCACGGAGCCAAGGCTCTCCCCCACCCAGACAGCTGGGACTGCTGATTGTGGAGCGCGCAGGCCTTGGAATGTAGGCTGGCCAAGCGGTGGCTCATGGGCTCTGGAGTCCCTCCCGCCCGCCGGAGAGGAAGGAGGCAGGGCGAGCCGCAGGGCGAGCCGGCGGGCGGCCGAGCTCCTCCTCCTCCTCCGCCTCCGCCATTTAGTCCTCCCGGCGGCGCGCCGGAGCGCCCGGGAGAAGCGGCGGGAGGGTCCGGGCCGGTCCTCGCGGGGCCCGCATCATGTCACGCCTGCACCGGAGCAGGTAAGGAGCCCCCGAGGGGATGCCAAAGGGGGGGGACGGGACCCCGGCCCCCCTTTCCCCGCGGGTGCATTGCAAAAATCCCCCCTCCCTTCCCAATTGGGGCTGGTGGGGAGGGCAGGAGGGAAGGGAAGGAGGGCTTTCGACCCTGGAGGGTGGGTGGGGCGGGGGGCCGAGCAAGCCTTTGCGGGCGGAGGCAGAGACCCCGGGCAAGTCGCCTCCTTCCCGGCCTCTCTAACGGATCGGCTTTTTCCTTGGCCCGAGGGCGAGGATGGAGCCACCGGGCGCGACTCTGGGAAGGCGCTGGGCAATCCCGTGTGTGTGTGTTTGTGTGTATGTGGGGGCTGTTGGCGAGCGGCTCTCGGGTTTCTTTTGTTCTTTCTAGCCTTCTTGCCTGTTTTTCCTTTTTTTTTTCCCGTTTCATTGCCCAAGTAAAAGCAACAATGAATCAAAGAAAAAGGAAGCTTTTTTTCCCCCCCGAAGGCCGTTTTGACTGCATTTCCCATTCCCCCCCCCCCCCAAATTAATCCTTTGCTACTCCTGAAATTACTACAGTTGTAGAACGAACTGTGTGAATGGTGTGGTGGGCACACACCAGCTCTTTGCTGATTGTTTAAAACACACACAGACAGGCAAAAGAGGCTTTTATATGGATTTTTATTAAAGTACATTAGCAAAACGTTTCCAATTATGGAAGAAAATCCATAGTCAACTAAAGAAAAATGTACCGATTTTTACTACAGAAAACGGAGTTTTTTGCGCAAGGATGCTCTTGCGTTTGTTTGGGTGCTCCTTTAAAAAGTAAATGTGTATTTGGCCAAAGTTTTAAGAGGACCAAAGAGCCAGAAGATGGTAATTTCTGATTTGAGGCAGGGGGGAAGTTGCTATTTTTGTTCAGCGATTCTTCATGTGGCCGTTTAAGGATTTTAAACATCTAGGATACTTTTTTTTTTCCCAACAAGGTGCTACTCAGATGTATTCTCCCAAGATATCTGGTGGGCAGGAGGGAATGAAATACAGGCAATCCTTGACTTACAACTGTTCATTTAGTGACCAAACTTACAACAGCACTGAAAAAAGTGACTTAGACCTTTTTTCACAATGACAACCTTTGCAACATTCCCAGGGCCACGTGGTCAACATTCAGATGCTTCATATTTATGACCGTCACTTTGTCTCAACATCCTGAGATCTTCTGGCAAGCAAAGCCAAAAGGGGGAGTCAGATCTGCTTAACAATCGTGTGACTCACTTAATGACTGCAAAGATTCACTAAACAGCTGGCAAGAAAGATCACAAAACTCACCTAACAAATATATTACTAGCAACATGAATTTTGGCCTCAATTGTGGTCGTAAGTCGAGGACCACCTGTATAGATCAGGGGAGACATTGGGACTACGGCTGTTCGTGATAACAATTCAGGCGGGGTTGTTGTTTTTTTTGCACTCGAACTTGGTTTAAGCTCAGATAAAAGCCCTTATCTGCGGGTTTTTCAGTTAACTTCCACGTGGCCTTGGGGGCAGGGAATACAAATAATATTGCATGCTTGTATTTTGGGCCTCTTGAGTTTTATCCCACCCTGAATGGGATAATAAAGAAACTTTATATGCATTTAGCTAAAACCACAACAAAGTGCTGTGCCTCATATTGAGTTTGCAGGTTCCTGGTTGCTTTAGGTAGCGCGAAATCTTTTGTGGTTTCAGCGTGTGTGGGGGGGAGCTAACAGCCTGGTCTGGGTTGTGTTTCCTGCAGAATTGCAGAATTTGAAGAGATCCTGAACGAGCCCAACATTGTGCTGCAAAAGCTGCGGGAATTTTGTTTCAACGGTAAGGAGAGAGGGCAGCGGCTTGGCCTTGCAAAATTTGCACAGAAAGCTGGCCTTATAAGAGAAGTGAATTTCCACTGTGAAAAGTGACATGAAATCATAGGGCTGGAAGGGACCTTGGAGGGACCCTTTTCTCCCTCTTTTTACTATGAAATCCCCAAGTAGGATTTGACAGTCCTCTGCCAACTGGTGTCTAAAGGCCAAAGATCACTGAATTACTACCTCTATAAATATTTAACAGAAAATGTTCTTGCAAGCTTAAAAATGCCCTATGCATCAAGTCCACTTTTCTTCCTTTTTTCTGACGTAGAAATGCATTGTTGCAGTGTGGCCATCCCTTCTTTAGATTGGATTATGAAGATCTAGTTAAAAAAAAAAACCTGTACCCAATGGTGAATCTCTTTTCAAGCCATCTTGGCTCTAAAGCTATGCTTCTCACTGCACCATTGTGCGCATGAAGATGAATCAGGGAGTGCCAGAAGGAGTGGAAATTGATTTGAGAACATGAGCCAGGCCCTGCTGGGTTGGACTTCTGGACCATCCAGTCCAGCCATCTGTTCTCGCAATGACCCACTGACTGCCCATGGAAGCTCACAAGCTTCCCGGCAGATGATAGGAAGGAAGATGATGACAGTGATGGAGGACAAAGAGGGGAAGGAGGAGAAGCAAGAGGAGGAGGAGAAGGGAGGTGAAGAAGAGGAAAAAGGGGAGGGGGGAAGGAGGAGGACGTTGCTGGGTTATGTACCTGTTCCATCCAGTCCAGCCATCTGTTCTCACAGTGATGCATTCTCCCGGCAGGCAGCCTTCAGAGGTGGCCTCACTGCTCTCCATCCCAGGAGCCAGCACCCCATTTCAAGATAGCCAATCCCAAAGCTGAATTACGCATTGCATTAAAAAATATACTTTCTTTGGTCAGTCTTGGTTCTTCCAAGATTTATGTCAGCGTTCCAGCGACCCAATAACTCCGAGGCAGACATCTTCTCAAAGGTCCCTTTTTATTTGGATAGTGAACTGGCACTACTGGAGAATCCTGAATCTGAAACTTCCAGTCTTTCTTACAATAAGTAAAAACTGCAAATCCGTCCCCTGCACCTATCATCACATCACGTGGCCCAATCACCGTCCGTCCCAAGTTAAGACTTCCTCTCACTTACGTGCAAAACAACCTGACCTTGAATCAGAAAAAGAATGTTGTTATGTGTTAACTAGATATATAGTCCAATAAATTCCCCCCCTCCCACTTTCCCAGGCTGAAATGTGGCAGCATCTGATCTCAATACGGCTTCCAAAGCTGACAGTTTCACTCCACTGGGTGGCCTCTGGTTCCAGTATTTTGAGCAGGTGGTGGTGATGGGGGGACAGCTTCTTCTTGTCCACTTCATCCCTGCCATGGATAATATTGGGCGCCTCCAGCATCATCATCTCCTCTCCTGTGCCCCCTTTCTAGACCAGAAAGCCTCCCCCACGTCGTAAGTTTTCCTCTAAGGGGACCTGCTCCAGCCTCTGGGCTAGCTGAGTTGTCCAGCTTCACTCAGTTCTCTCTGAGGTGGAACCTACCCATGAAACGTTCATCGCGCTCCTTAATCCTTCTTGAGGCCGCCATGTTGAAAGGGACTCGGGTTTAATCCCCTGGTTCTTCCATTTCACAGGGATTCCCTTCGAAGGTGGCTTGCGCTGTCTCTGCTGGAAGGTAAGTCCCTCCTCATCGAACAGCCTGGCTTCACCTGCTCCTTTGATTTCCCCTTCGCGTTGCTGGGTTTCAGATCCGTTTTATCGTGCAGGTAGTTCCTGATTTGCAACCGTTTCTTTAGTGAGCGTTTGAGAAATTTCTCTTGTTAAGCAAGGCGGTCATTAAATGGGTTTTGCCCCCTTTCATGACCTTCCACATCTGAAGTTTTGATCAGTGACTGTGGGGGATGCTGGAATGGTCGTAAGTGTGAAAAACAGTCATAAGTCACTTTGTTCAAGGCCATTGTACCTCTGGTCATTAAAGGAATGCTTGCATTCCTGTATTAAATAAAGAAGGGTTAATGGCCCTGGGTTGGGGAAAGGCTGGTTAGCAAATTGAGGAGTTCAGAATACATTTTCCCCCTGTGCAAATTCTTTTCCCTGTTTGCCTTTTGCAGATCCTCTTAAACTACCTTCCTCTGGAAAGGGGGACTTGGAATTCCCAGCTGAGGAAGCAAAGGTACCTTGAACTGTTGGCATCCTCTCCATCTTTCCTTCTTGGCAAGGATAATCGGAACCTCCCTGTAGGAGGCAAAAAACAGGGAGGTGGAGTCAAGAGAGGAATTAGCCTGGAGGCGTTAGGTGGCCACAAACAGTCTAAATCCAACCTCTCTTGAATGACCTTAGTCGCAGTTTGCTGCAGCCACTAAAAAAGGCAACCAAATCCTAGGCTGCATCACCGCGGGGGATAGAATCAAGATTGTGCGAAGTATTAATACCACTTTATAATGCCAATTCTGCTGACCGTTGGTTGTGTAGGTTCTTATGTAGATTCCTATGAGCGATAAATCAGTTTTACTAGAATTTAAGGTGTCCCGATTCTTCATGCCTGACAGTTCCTTCTTATTGCTGAGAATTCAACTGTGAAGCACCAAGCAGTTAGCAAATTAGCTCTCTGATTTATATTTTAAAAAATTAAATAAATTTCCTATTGCTTTTTCACCTTTCTGCCAGAGGTTTGCATCAGCTAGTGATTTAAAATTAATTTTATAATTAATTAAATTAATTTTAAAATTGTTTAAAATTAACTAATTTCAAGTTAATTACTTAAAATCTTGCGTGTCCATCTGGATTGTTTCAGTGAGCCAAAACCAAGGAGAATATTTGTTGTGTGGTCGCTTAGAGTTGAGGCTGGTTTGACCCTTCCCCAATCAATTAAAAGCGTTTTCTTCCCGTAGTTTTTAATTTTTTTCTTCATATAGATTAACTAAACTGCAGGGCTGATGACTCAACAGAAACAGTGCTAACACTTCCTATCCAATTTTTAGAACTTTTAAGTCAGCGTTTCTCAACCTTGGTGACTGTTAGATGAGTGCATTTCAATTCCCCAAATGCTGTCTGGGGAATTCTGGGAATTGAAGTCCACTCCTCTCACAGTCATCAAGGTTGAGAAATACCGTTTTTAAGCTGACTAAGTTGGAAAAATTAGAAGAGTAAACGCAAAAGTATAATAATTTGAGATGTATTTTAAAAGCGTGTGATTAAAGACAGTGTTCAATCACACTGTGGATGCAAATTTACACTGGACACTGTGGATGCAAATTTATTTCCACATTGCTGGCTGGGGTGTGTTGGCTAGAAAGCCAAATGGGTACACTAGCTATTTTGGGGTCTGTGAATGTGGTGCTTTTTGGCGATTAAAGAAATTACATCAAAAATGTAAAAACTGGGGTTGTGTTCTGAAGTATTCTGCCTGGCCAGATTTGCAAAGGTTGCTTCTGAGTAGCCAGCAATGGCCTTTTCCAACAGAAATCAATTAAAAGCAGTGACAGCATAGTACTTTAAAAGCAGAGATCAAATCGCAAACTGCTCGTGTTTCTTAATAGTACATATGAGTGTATTTTTGTATGGAAAATCACTTTAAGGCCACTGGACTTCGTTGTATTTGCCAAAAAAAGAGGGCGGGGGGGGAATGACTCTGGAAATCACTCAAGGAATCTGAGTGGAGAGATATGTCCAAAATATCTACACCGAAATAATTTCAGATTTGTTGTCCAAGGCTGTAGTTTGGATTTTGCTTTAGCTAAAGCTCAGGATGTGGCTTCATACAACTTCTGAAATGTGGGTGTGATTTAACTAATTCATGCTATTTCATCTTCCTTCCTCCCTCCCTCCATCTCTCCCTCTTATCCTTCCTTCCTTTCCTCCATCCCTCCCTCCTGCTTTCCTTTCTTCCGTCCAGTTTCCTTCCTTCCTTCCTTCCCTCCCTCCCTTCCTCCATCTCTCCATCTTATCCTTCCTTTCCTCCCTCCCTCCCTTCCTCCATCGCTCCCTCTTATCCTTCCTTCCTTCCTTTCTTCCCTCCTTCCTGCTTTCCTTTCTTCCATCCAGTTTCCTTCCCTCCCTCCCATCCTGTTTTGTTGGGTGTGTTTGAAACAATAGAGACTGTGTGTCTTGTGTTAAACAATATTCAGCTCTGCTTGCTTTTTAAAAAACCTTGCAGCACTGATGGAAATGGGGGTGCAAACCCTATTCCTAATATGAATTCTTTTTTAAAACTGTCTCCTCCTGCATCCTCTCCTTGAAGGGAATTATATGCGCAGTTCTTGAAGGAAATGATTATCCAGCCGGGAATAGCTAAAGCTGAACTTGGAGTCTTCAGAGAGGATGTCACCTTGGACGACCATGTAAGGACACCCCCGATTAGCCCTTTTCTTCTAATCACGATCAGCAGGAGACAGTGAGTTCTAGTCCCACTGGACGGTCAGATGAGCCAATCCCTCTCTCTTTCCCACCTCAAAGGATTGTTGTTGTGGGGAAAATAGGAGGAGGAAGGCCTGTTGGAGATGTTCCCCCCTTTGAGTTATTTGCAAAAATAATAAGCTTAGGATATAAATAATACATAAATAAAATAAAATCTGTGTTTCTTCTCCCAGCTTGGTTTTTGACTGCCTCTTCTCTCCAAATCTTTCTCTCCAAAGCCGCTGAATCCCAACCCCAACAGCCAGTGGAACACTTACTTCAAGGACAACGAAGTCCTGTTGCAGATCGACAAGGATGTCCGGTAAGTCAGCCCTCTCCCCCCCCACCCCCCAAAGAAATAAAATCAGGGGATTCAGGCAGTTCCAGTGAGCAGAAAGATTCATTGCTAGATTAAGCCTTCTAGAAGAACCTGGCCAACTGGCCCTTAAGGGAAATGAGCGGGAGATAAGAAGGGCAGTCAAAGTGGGCTAGACTTCGATCGCTTGCACGCACGCAGGGACTCATGACTTACGACGCCTTTGACCCCTGCCTCAGGCTCAGCCCCACATCCAGGGACCCATAAAGTTGTTAGTCCCAAACTAGGGCTTCCTTGAGCCATGGCTGTCAGCTCCAATCTAAAAGAAAATGTCTGGGGACAGCTTCAGAGCCGTCCTTCTCTTAAAGCAACTTATCCAGGGTTATTACTGCAGGCTCTCTTTGAGAAACCCGGTTTCTTTTGCGCCCCACCCCCCACCCCCCATAGGCGACTGTATCCCGATATGGCTTTCTTCCAGCGCCCGACGGAGTATCCTTGTCTGTTGATCCTTGACCACCAGAATGAATATGAGACTCTTCGCAAGCGGGTGGAACAAACCACCCTCAAATCGCAGACAGTGGCACGGAACCGAAGTGGGGTAACTAATGTAAGAGAATAATTTCGGGTACAAGGTTGAGGGGTGGGGGCGAAAGCTTGGTCCCCTTGCCAGCTTTGGGGGAGATTTTGAGTTTCAGGGAATGTGTCACAGGTGGTCTCATAAAAGACGACTGCTTGAAGCCAGTCATAATATTTATTATTTGTTTATTTGTTGAATTTATATTGGCACCTACTTGCCCATGACGACTCGAAGTGGCTTACAGAATGTAAAACCATATTTAAAAAAAAAAACAATAAAAACTAACAAAAAGAATCAAATAAATTAATAAAGTGCAATAGAACAAAATATGGTGGGGGGGAATATAAAAGTTACAAAAGTTGGTTTAGTGTTTGAAGTTTACAATGGTACGAAAAGTGACTTTTGATCCGGTGTCTGTGGAGCTGCGGTGATGATTGTAACTGCTAAGACTGCTTGTAAGTCACCATTTTGTCAGCGGACATTGTACCTTTGAACATTCGTTAAGTGAATGTCATGCCCTTGTTGGAATCTGATTCTGAGGGGGAGATTGAGCAGCTGACAGGGAGTGGGAGTGTGGCTCCAGTGGCTGTGAAGAAACAGGGGAAGGGCACAGTCCGGCTGGGCATTCAGAGGAAGACCCAGGTCCACCCCCTCTTCATCCTAGGGCAGGCAGGGAGGAACGGAGAAGGGAGCAACATGGCTTCCGGGAGAGGAAAAGGCCCTGATCCCTTTCATTGTTTGCAGCTGGGAGAACAGGATATAAGAAGGACGCTTGCACACGGCTGCTAGCTGGAAGCAAAGCATGCATTATCTTTGTCGAGGCTTATCTGGGTTTTGGCGTCCTGTCCTCCCAACTGTATGTGCTTCGTTATCTTTTGGAATTCTGCAATTTATTCTCCTGGCCCGTCCGTGTTAATTTACTTCAGCGTGGTTTGTGTTGTTTTTTATTTCTACTTTATCTGTACTTTGGGTTTGGGCTGCATTTCTTCCCTTCGTAGACTGTTTTTTGGAAGAGGTTCATCTCCAGCCGAGAATATCTGGACATTGGGGGCCAAGTTGGAGGTATTAAAGGGAATTTATTCTACTTTTGTGCTGTTGTTATTTTTGTGCCACGCCCCTTTGGGTCATCACAGTGAACGAGGAGTCCCTGTACCCATAAAAAGATGCTGGACCCCCCATTTTCTCCGTTTGGTTTTTGCAGGTGAGCTCCCCTCTTAAAACACCGGTGCTGAACGAATACGAAGTTCTCCCTGATGGCTTCGAAGCCCACTGGGAAGTTGTGGAACGAATCCTGTTCATTTACGCCAAGCTGAACCCCGGAATTGCCTACGTCCAAGGGATGAACGAAATTGTGGGGCCCCTCTATTACACCTTTGCGACAAACCCCAACAGCGCATGGAAAGGTAAGGGGGTTGGAGAATTCCTGCCGCCTTGTGGTCTGACTGATCAACAGAGAACACGGCTAACGGTATCAAAATATATTAAAAGGAGCACACGAAACTACGATACCCGTATGATGGAAATACGTAGTCAACTTCGTACGGTGTGAGGAATTCAAGAAGCTTTATGCAGGTGGCCCTCGACTTATGGCCACAACTGAGTCCAACATTTCTGTCGTTAAGCGAACTTTGCTCCGTTTCATGATCTCTCTTGCCATGGCTGCTGGGGACTAGAACTCCCTATATCTCCTGGTGATTGGCCCAAAGTGAATCCCTGCAGTTGTTCAGTTAGTAACACGGTTGTTAATCCAGCTTCTCTGTTGACTTGGCTTGTCAGAAGGTCACAAAAGGGGAGGAGCGGGTCACGTAACTCCGTGACACTGGAACTGTCATAAGTACAAGTCAGTGGCCAACACCTGAATTTTTATTACACGATGCTGATGATGCAATGGTCGTCAGTGTGAAAAACAGCCATAAGTCGCTTTTTTCAATGCAACTTTGGTCACTGCACGAACTGTTGTAAGTTGAGGACTACCTGTATTACCTTCCACATTTAAACGGTCGTGGCAGATGCCATGCGAGGGGCGGGTCGTTTTCCGTTTCTCAGCCCTGGCAGGTGGCATTGAAGCCTATTAATTTTTTCAGATAGATTCTTTTTTCTTCCCCCCTGAATCTGGACGTTGGATAATCCAGATTACTGACCGTCTCCCTTTCTGTGCACAGAGCACGCCGAAGCCGACACCTTCTTCTGCTTCACCAACCTCATGTCTGAGATCAGGGACAACTTCATCAAGAGCCTGGATGACTCCCAGTGTGGGATCACCTACAAAATGGAGAAGGTCTACGTCATCCTAAAGGAGAAAGACAGGGAGCTGTACATGAAGCTGGTGAGAAGTTCTCAGGTTGAGCCAAAGTGACCCTTCTTTGGGGAACTTTAAGGGGAAGGTCCATCGTGGTCAGCCAAGTCAAGGTCGGTCTGAGTCCGTGATGACGAACCTACAGCATGCATGCAAGCCCCAGGCCAACTTGCCTCATTGCGCATGTGTGCGCCTCCCCGCTGATTTTCGGGCCGCTTGAGGCCTTTTTCGGCCTCCCAGAGGCTTGAGGGAAGCCTCTGCAGTCTTTGCAGGCCGAAAAAATAGGCCCATTTCATCACTTCCGGTATTTCCGGAAATACCGGAAGTGACTAAATGGGCCCATTTTTCACCCTTCAAAGGCTGCAGAGGCTTCCCTCAAGCCTCTGGGAGGCTGAAAAAGGCCTCAAACAGCCCGAAAATCAGCTGGGAGGCGCAATGCAGGTAAGCGGGGGGAGGGAGGGTTTGAGCGCACAGGGGGTGGTGGGCCGCACGCATTGCCTTCTGGGTGCTGGAACGCAAGTACAAGCGCGCTCACAATTTTTGGCCCAGGAACCCAAAAAGGTTACCCACCATTGGTCTAAATGGTGGCTGGGTGACCGATCCATCTATCTATCCATCCATCCATCTATTCGTCCATCTATCTATACGTAAAATAATCTTTACAATGTTTATGATAATAACTTTATTATTATTAAAAGGGAGTCCTGGATGCTTTCCTCCTCCTTCCCGCGTTTTCTAGCGCAGACTGCGCCAATGTTTTATTTTCTCTTTCCAGCAAGAACAGAACATCAAGCCTCAGTTCTTCGCGTTCCGCTGGCTAACACTGCTGCTCTCACAAGAGTTCCTGCTCCCGGACGTCATTCGCATCTGGGACTCCCTCTTCGCCGATGACAGCCGCTTCGACTTCCTCCTGCTAGTCTGCTGCGCCATGTTGACGTGAGTTCAGAGCTACACGTCCTAAAGAAGGAAGCACACGGACCTTGGAGGAGTGGCTCTCGCCCTTGCTTTCAATGGGACATAGTTGCTTCCACTAAATTCCCTGGCACCAGGCTAGAAACTGGGCGATGGGGAGTTCTAGTCCCGCCTTAGCCATGAAAGGCAGCTGAGTGACAGCCACCTGGGGATTGGGCCAATCATCTGAGGGCTGTGAGTTTTAGTCCTGTCTTAACATGAAAGCCGGTTGGGTGACTTTGGGCCAGCCACACCGGGAGACAGTGAGTTCTAGTCCTGCTTTAGGCACAAAAGCCAGCTGGGTGACTTTGGGCCAGTCCCTCTTTCTCTCTCTCAGCTCAACCCACTTCACAGGGTTGTTATTGTGGGGGAAATAGGAGAAAAGAGCATTAGATATGTTTTATATTGATATATAATGATAAAGGAGGTGTATGAGTAAAATAAATTAATAAAAATAAAAGGTTGTTTTGTCATTTCTGCCTCTTGCATTGTCCATCCTGGATCCCTTTCCTGTTGGATCCCAGTGGATCCGAGCTAAGTCCATGTTTTTCTCTGTCGTTATCCTACAGGCTCATCCGGGATCAACTACTGGAAGGGGATTTTACTGTAAATATGCGGCTTTTGCAGGTAAGGGAAAGAAGGGAAGGCAAAATATTTTTCTTCCTGGTTGAGAACAGCCTCAGCCACGACTGTGTTCGTATCAAGGCAGCTTTTCTTTTAACTGTGGCTTCTTGGAACAAGCTGTACTAGCTCTTACCAACGGGCAAAATCACCGTGGCCGGTTGTTTTCGAGGCCTCTGTTTTTTTTTCTTGTTATGTAGGAAAGTCATAAAACGAGATGCCCAACTTAACCGTCTTGGAGGTTTCAGTTGCCAAAAACTTTCTGGAACCCTCTATTGTATTATTGTAACGTTGCTGTTCTACTAATGGTGGAGGGGGGGGGGGATTGCAGGGGGTGACTGACTTACAACCATTTGTTCAAAGATCCCATTGCTTGCCAACATTATGTCGGTGGCCAAGCTCCCAAATTTTGATCAGGTGACTTTGGAGGTCTTGCCACAGCCATGTAGGTTCCGGTCGTAAGTCATTTTTCCCCCGCAGGTGCCATTGTAAACTTTGAATGGTCGTTTAAACGGAAGGTTGGAAGTCAAGGACTACGTAAAAGTCAAGGGTGGGGGGAGAAGGATTGCGGTGGCCACCTGCAGATCTGTGGGGGTCTTTTAGAGTTGGGGCCATTGTCCTTAAGTGCTTCTCCCCTCTTGGATTCTTACAAATATGATTCTCGACTCCTGACGAATGTATCTTTTCTTTTATGTACACTGAGAGTATTTACACCAAGACAAATTCCTTGTGTGTCCAATCACATTTGGCCAATAAAGAATTCTATTCTGTTCTGTTCTGTTCCTATTCTTATTCTTATTCCTATTCCTGTTCTGTTCTCTTCTTTTCCTATTCCTATTCCTATTCCTATTCTACTCTACTCTACTCTACTCTACTCTACTCTACTCTACTCTACTCTACTCTACTCTACTCTCTTTCTATTCTATTCTGTTCTATTCTACTCTACTCTACTCTACTCTACTCTACTCTACTCTATTCTCTTTCTATTCTATTCTGTTCTGTTCTGTTCTGTTCTACTCTACTCGCTGCCTGCAATTTGTAAGAATTCCTCCTTCATTCAGCGCCTGGCATTGTCCCTTTTTCCCACTCAGGACTACCCTATCTCTGATGTCCACCTGATTCTGAAGACAGCAAAGGATCTTCAGGAGTCGAAGTAGCTCGTCCATCCAAAGGTTCGGCAGGTGTGATGGTTGCTTGTCCCCTCTGTGGAGGACCTCTGGAGGAAGTCACGCTTCTTCTCTTCCAAAATCTCCTCGACCGGAAATAATGACTCCTCCTTGCCACATCCTTTGGGCAAGGGACTCTTAAGGAGATGAGCTACAAGGACCCTCTCGAAAGGCCCAAGAAGCAGGACCCACCTGGGGTTGGACTCCACGGGAAAGAACCAGCCCTTTGGGGGAACTTCTTCTGCAAGCTGCCAGTCCAGCTTCTGCGTCATAGGTTTTGGGATAAGTTCTTCCCAGTCGCTCCCAATCCAGATCCCAAGGTCTGGAGCCTTCCTGTTAGATTCCTTCCTCCTTTGTTTGGAGGCCAGCTTTTCCTGGAAGCTTAAAAGAAGAAGGAAAAAAATGGAACAATGCTAGAAAGGTCTCCTTAGCCACAATGCCTTGGAGCGGACCGTCTTCCTCCATTGCTGAAACATGGAATTTTCTAGATGGGGACGTTCAAATCCAGAGCAACATGCTTGCTTAGACTCTCAGTTGTCACCCCTGTTGCGTTTCCCGACTGCCTGTGATGTGTCAGTGCTCTGCCATGAATTATTCCCCCCGAATTGGTAAAAGCCTGTCCTCGGCCACAAATTCCTCCGATAAAAGAGTTTCCTGCGAGCCAAAATAACTGATAATTTAAGGATGGAAGACTTCTCCATGCTCTGCTAGGTATCTGCTTGCAGGGAAAATTTCAGTGAATTTCCAGTGAACATCGATGCAAAGTGATTATTCTAGCAGTGAAAAGAGGATTTTGATTATTTTCAGAACTCTGCCGTGTTAATGACGTCCTATTCTGGGTTAGTTTGAGTTCCCAAAAGTTAATCAGGCCTTTGTGGCATATTTGAAGAGGTAACTATTTTTTCCTCTAATTAAATTCAAGATAACGTGTAGGGTTTGTTTTTTCATTTGGGGGGTGGTTGAGGGAATGCTGTTATCTTGAATAAAAGAGGGAAATTAGAAGTTCGATGTAGCTGAGCAAAACAAGACTTTTTTCCCCCTGTGTTTTGATGCCAGTCACAGAATTTTGATTCTAAAATCGTTTTCAAACAGCCCCGAAAGACGTCATGTTTTATGCTGTGTTTAAAGAGGATTCAAAATAAGAATTCTGCTTTTTCCAAGAAGAATGTGCAAAGGATTATTTCCGGCGTCCTTCTTGCTTCTACTCCCAATTTTGCAACAGGAAATACCCCGAGGGTCCATTTTATGGCTTTCTTTTTCTTTTCTTTTTTTTTTGATAATACATAATGGAACCAGAAACCAGGAGATGATATCAAAACATTTCTAAATGTATACATCAACCCCGCTGCAGGAAATGAATTTTTGCTTTATTACAAAAGGAAGAAAATTAGCACGAACCATGGAGCTTCAACAGTTATATTCCATATGTTCCCTTAATTATTACGTATTATCTTGGTGGAGGGAAATGGCTCTGTAGTAAGGAGTATGTTGGGCACTTTTGAAGGCTGCCTGAAAATTAGCCTTACAGCTTTTATACAGCATAATCACTGCCAAATCCTATAGCGTAGTTTCCTGCCTCCTTCCTCAGAGCAAACTGAAAAAGACACAAAACTGCAAAACTTGCACGAACAGTGAAACTGCCGCTTAGCATTTGACATTCCCTGTAGAAGGAACAAAAAAATAAAGCTTGCAAAAAAAGAGGGGGGGCTTTTCTCCCCAAAATACAGATTAGGTTTCTTGCAAGACAGAAATGACAGCTGTCTTTCAACTATATTTTTTTTTTTCATTTTTTCCTGGATAATTGTCTTTTTCTTTTTTAAATTTTGATGGCAGCCACATATTGGATACGGTGTGCGATAGGTAGCAGCTGGTTTTTGGGTGGCCTAAAATTATTCTCTGTCAGTTAAATTGAATGTAAAAAAAAAATGTTCAGATTGTGCTACTTAAAATCTCATGCTGCAATGAAGGGACAAAAAATGTGTGTGTGTGTGTGTGTGTTTGTATAAAAAAAAATCCATTTTCTTGCATATTGGAGTAGGTCAAGATTTTTACACACTCATGCACACCATCCCACAAAACTGCTTAGAATCATTGATTGAGCCTATTGTTACTTCCAAGTTCAGTGTGTAAAAAATGTTTTTGTGAATCTTTCTGGCAACACTCTACACAAAGAGGTGGATATTTTTGTTTTTCTTGGCGGATATAATAGATCGGATTGACTCAATTTTGCTGCCATTTTGTTTTGCTGTCCTGCCAAATCTTGCGTTCGTTCTTTAATTTTTACGTATTCCTACTACTTTCTGAAATAGCCTTTTTATTTCTACTGGCTAAATTAGTTTCTTGCTTTTGAGCATCTGATGTAGAATTGTGTAAAAAAGAACTGATGGGGAAAAGATAGAATAAGGTTACAAAAAATCATTGCCTGTGCAGTACATAGAGTAAGCAGAACCTTGATTCAAGAGTGAATTTGGAAGTGTATAATTTGTACAGGAAATTATCTACAGCTCTTTGTCGACCTGTATTTCTTTTTTAATTCTATATTTTGGGAACAGTGGAAATACGTCCTGTTTTTTGGTTGTTGTTTTAAAGATTGAGTAGAGACCTGTTGCCAATATGAAACAGGGTACTTTGTGTTTTGCTTTTCAATTCTTTTGGCAAGCAAGCAAGCCAGGATTCAAGGTATTTATCGTGGTTTTTCTGCTGGAATGGTCACAGCAGTCGTGATGGTGGCTACAAAGCCGCAATGGGAGCTCAGCCTGCCATCTTTTTTTGACCTCTCTTGCTGATCATCCGTGGTAAAAATCCCGACCAGCTTTTGACTGGGGAAGGACTCAATCCCACCCCCAAAATTCTGCAGAGATGCGTGTAAAAGTTTTTGCGCTAGCAAATTTGTTCTAGCTAGCAGATCGGTTCCAGTGTGTTCTATAATTTTTCTGTGTCGTTCAATTTAATTTTTCTTTTTTTTTGTTTGTTTCCTAAATAAAGATTCTCCTTTGCAAAACCTGACTGGCTTTGCCGGTCTTTTGAGGGATGAAGGAATTCAATAGGCTTTTCTCCTCATATTATTTTTACTGGCTAAATGAAGTTTCTTTCCCAGTTTCAATATCAGATGCAAAATTGTATTTAAATCTTTTTGGGGAACAGGAAGATAGAATAAGTTAAAAATTGCCCTTGAAATACATAGCCGGAGAAAAGAAGGATCTTGATTCGAATGAATTCACAAGTGTATACTTTGCACAGGAGATTCTCTGCAATTTCTTTTGTTGATCTGTTTCTTTTGTTCGTTTCTCTTTCAGGGAAAAAAACTATGATAATGACAAATGAAGTTATTTTGAAATATTGGGGGGGGGAGGTTTTTGCGCGCTGAAATTAAAATAGACAAATGGATAAAGGGGACAATATTGTTATTTTACAGTTTTGTTTGGGGCAGGGTGAAAGGTTATTTGCAGAAATTGGAATTAAAAGAAATGCACGAATGGGATAGTTATTTTGAAAGATTTTTGGGGGGTGTGTGTGAAAGGGCTTTTGAACAAACTGAAATTAAATGATTGACAAAGGGGACAGTTAATTTGAAGTTATTATATCTGGAGAGGCTTTGAAAGGGCTTTTGCAGAAATTGGAATTAAAGCAGACAAAGGAATTGGACTAGTTTTATTTACTATTTTTATTTATTCCCCAGCTATGCTGGCTGCGGAATTCTGGGAGTTGAAGTCCAAGCATCTTAAAGCTGCCGATGTTGAGAAACACGGAAATGGATTAAACAAAGGGGCGGTTGCAATCAAAGGTGGTTTAGCCCTAAACTCCCCCCACTCTTCGAGGTTTAAATAACTTCAAGGGCAGAGAGAGGGCGCGAAAGTGCAAAGAACACGCACGCTTCTTAAAAGGGGCAATGCCCGATGCCCAGCAGTTCTCATTCTCAGGGTTGTCATTGGGAGGATTAAAGTGCCCACTTTCTATTAGCTTCCTTCCCATCACAACAGCCTTGTGAGGTAGGCTGGGTGGAAAGAACAAGGCGACATCGGAGCTGGGTGCGTGGGTGGCTGGGGATTTTCAAGCTGGATCTTTCCGCGCTTCCAAATTTTGCCCCGTTGGTGGTTTAAAAATGCGTTTTTGTGTTTTTTTCGACTTTCACCCCTTCGGCCGTCCGCAGTGCAAGCAGAGGCAGAGCTCCTACCCCAAAAGACGCCACGGAGCGAAGGTCCTTGTTCTCTTAAGCCCCAATAACCCCCTCCACCACCACCTTGGCCCCACCCGCTCAGCGCCGTTGCCCCTTTAAGAAGCGGTCCTTGTAATCCCTTTGCTTCCTCCCAACGTTCCATTCCTTTGATCCCGGCGCGTTCCATCGGCCGAGCGGCTCCCGCGGGCGGGCACGATGAAGCGCTGGTGGGGCAACCTGGCGCCCGCGGCGGCCTCGCTGGCTCTCGGGCTGGGCTTGGGCGCCGCCTGGTCCCGGGGGCAGAACCGGGAGTCCGCGGAAGGGCTGCTGGCGCGGCTGCCCGTCGTGCCGGTGGCGGCGGCGTCCTTGGAGGCGGGCCGGGCCGGCGGCGGCAGCGGCGAGCTGGCCAAGTACGGCCTGCCGGGCCTGTCTCAGCTGCGGAGCCGCGACTCGTACGTGCTGTGCTACGACCCGCGAGCCCGGAGCGCCCTCTGGGTGGTGGAGCGGCTGGACGCGGCGGCCCTCCGCGGCTCCTCCGAGCGGGCCGCCTGCGACTTCCGCGAGGACGACTCCATCCACCCCTATCACCGCGCCAGCAACGCGGATTACCGGGGCAGCGGCTTCGACCGAGGCCACCTGGCGGCCTCCGCCAACCACAAGTGGAGCCAGAAAGCCATGGGGGACACCTTCTACCTGAGCAACATCGCCCCCCAGGTAGGCTGGGTGGGAACGGATGGATGCCCTCCCGTACCCCCAGGCGGAGTTAACGGAAGAGCCCCCCTCACTTAGATTGACTAGGCTGTTTTTGCCAGCCTCCGGTCAAGAAGTCCTCGGATTTCAACAATTCCGCCCCAAATTTCGGTTGCTAGCCGAGACATTCGTTAGCTGAATTTGTTGGCCCTGTTTTACGACCCGTCCTTTCCACAGTTGTTAAGTGAATCAGTGCAATTGTGAATAACACGGTTGTTGTGAATCTGGCTTCACCGCTGTGGATTTTGCTTGTCAGGAGGTCACTAAAGGTGAGCAAATGACCCTGGGAAGCTGCAACCGTCATAAATATGAATGAGTTACCAAAGGTCAGAGTTTTGATCATGTGACCACAGGGAGGCTTGTGTGAAATATAGTCATGTGGCACTTTTTTCAGTGCTGTTGTAACTCCGGTCACTAAACCAGTAGTTATATAAGTCGAGGACTTCCTCTGTACTTTTGAATGTTTAACGTTTGACCTCTCTCGCCGTCTATCTTAACCTGGTGGCTTTGATTTCCTAGAATCCTCATTTAAATCAAAACGCCTGGAATAACTTGGAAAAATATTCTCGGAGCTTAACGAAGACTCACCAGAATGTTTATGTCTGCACCGGCCCGCTTTTCCTACCCAGGTACCTGTGTTCCTCAGTTTCCCCTTTCTATCCCGTAGCCATCCCATCTCTTGTGGGAGCAGACAGAAAAGGCCCTGTTTAAAAAAGTCATTTTGAATTTTTACCACGAGGTTGACGAAAAGATCCAAGCAGACCCTAAAGCGAGGCGTCTGGTTTGCTATGGAATAGAAAAAAATTGGGGCGCCGAATAAAATTTCTGTATTCCTGCAAAGTCTGTGGCAAAACTCAGCCTCACAGCACAACCGAGCTAATACCCCATTCGGGTCTTTGATAGGCAAATTCATGCAGCGAGGACTAGAAACCTATGTGGCTTTTGGGATGGTTTGTAACGGTGGTTCTCTCCACAGGATGGAGCCGGATGGGAAGATGTACGTCAAGTACCAAGTCATTGGGCGGAACCACGTGGCCGTCCCCACCCACTTCTTCAAGGTGCTGATCTTAGAAAAACCCCAGGGGGAAGTGGAGCTGCAGTCTTACGTCATGCCCAACGCACCGGTAGACGAGAACATCCCCCTGGAACGCTTCCTGGTCCCCATCGAGAGCATCGAGCGGTCCTCGGGCCTTCTCTTTGTCCCCAACATCATGAAGAAGACCACCAGATTGAAAGCCATCACGGCGGGCAGCTCGGCCTGATGTCCACCCCGCAGAGAGGCAGGCTGCCAGCCGTCAAAACAACCTCCTCCCTCCACCCCGTGAGTGGGATCTGAATAGAGGTAGTCCTTGCAATGGAGCCCCAAATCTCAGTTGTTAAGCGAGACAGTTCTTTCGGGCGGTTTGGCACCCCCCGTTTTTCACGATGTTGCCTGCTGCCGTTTTTTTTTTTCAAGCGGATCGTTGCCATTGTTAAAAAAGTTGGTTAATCTGGACTTCCCGGTGGATTTTGCTTGTGGCAAACGGGGGATCGCCTAACTCTGCATCCGTCATAAGTGTGAGTTGGCTGCCAAGCCGCAGGGGGCGTACTGAATTTTGATCACGTGACGACAGGGATGCGCAACGGTCGACAAGCGCGTGAAAAAGGGGAAGAGCGTTTAGTTTCTTTTAGAAACAGCAAGGAAAAAAATTTTTTTTTAAAGGATTTGTCCAGTTCCAGGGAAATTTTCCAGGGGGGGAGGGAAATCAGAGGGGTGATCTCCTCATCTCAGGGAAAACAAGATGCTCTTTTGGCCGAAATTCAGGCTGAGGGTTGCATTTTGGGGCAGGGGAAAAAAATAATAATGGATACCTTCGGATCCGTTTTGCACAATAAAACAAAGAAGAATCGCTCGGAGGTGGTCCTGGAATTTTGTTTCTCAAAACCAGCTTAGCTCTGTACTTCTGCCTTGCAGCTTTTAAGCACAGTCCTCCAATTACGACTACAACTGGGACTTTGGGGGGGGGGAGAGAAACATTTATTTCTGCCAGGCAAAATGCGGCTTTAAAAACGTTTTTTTCCATCCACAGAGACGATGAAACCGCCTCGCCTCCTCATTGCTTCCACTGCAGTTTCTGCTTTTTAAAAAATAAAATAAAAAAGTTTATTATTATTTTTTACACAGCTCTTCACGTGAGCAACGTGGTTCCAGACTGCAACATTTATGCGGTCATCATTACATTTACAACTCTCTTCTTTTAACATCACATCAAGTTCACTATCCGTCCCACTGATCTTTCCATTTCGTATTTCAATTCATTAGTCACTGCTTTGATGAGCGAGGCGGTTGCAGCCCCCCCTAAACCCCCCACCCCCCTATTGTTATAAATAACATGAAAAAACACACCAACATAAATCAAATGCAGTGCGGCCCCCTCCTCTCTTCGAAGGGGGTCTGAAGGAGCTGCAGAATTCTGCGAGTTGAAGTCCTTGTCAAGTTGCCAAATTTAAGAAATTTGTTCTTAAACCCCAGTGGTTCATAGGGGGGGGAGGGGGCACCATCTCGACACCCCCTCCCAGGGTGCTCCAACTGGTACATGTAAGGGCAGCTGGGCTGGTGCTTCCAAATTTGTTCCCCCACCCAAGGGTGAATCCGAACCCGTAACCAAAGCCGCTTTCCTTGACGTTTGGTTCCTTCTTCGGGCACTCAGTTCGCACTTGGTCCTTTCATAGCCGCTGCGTTGATCTTGGGCCTCAGCGCCGAGAGCGAGACCAGGAGGGCTTCCTACAAAGACACGGGACAGATCAGCCACTGGATTAAAAAGGATCTTTTCTTTTTCCTGTCATGACGCCCCGCCGGATCTGTCAGGGATCCAGGAACAGCGACTCCTCGGCTGACGATTGCAACCGAGCCCAACATTTCTGCTGCTAAGCGAGAAACTTAAGTGACTTTGGACCCATTTTTAAATGATCTTTCTTGCCACCGTTGCAAAGTGAATCCTTGGTCGCAAAAGGGGATCACATGACCCACCCACCCCCGGGGGACGCTGCGACTGTCACAAAATACGAGACTTGCCAGGCATTCAAATTTTGAACAGCTGACCGTCGGGATGTGGCGACGACGGTCATAGCTGTGAAGACCGACCGTAGGCTGGTTTGATTGTCTTTTTTATAAACTATCGTCGTAATTTTGAGCCGCTCCTCTGCCAATGGTTATAAAGGGAGGACTGTCTTTAGCGCGAACGCAGCTGCTTTAAGACATGTGGGCTTCAACTCCCAGAATCCCCTAGATTGGATTAAAACGAGTAACGTTGCTGCAGGGAAGTCCTGCCCCACTTTGAGAAGCTGTCCAGAGAGTCGGGCCCTTCACGGGAGGGGTAACCTGTAGCAAACCCTAACTTTACCTCTGTCCTGATGGTGCGGCTTCCTTGCCCCGGACAGGTATTCAAATACAAATCAAACAAGGTGCCGGGATCGCTGACGTCCAGGTTGGGATCTGCATCCACTCCGGTTTCAAGACCCTGCACGCCCCCGAAGACGATTAAAGCATGGCTACCAGGAAGAGAAAAAGAGAGAAAGGGGTTTGGGGAAGGCTGTCTCAGCTCCTGCAGGGCAGAGACAAGTTGGAAGGGACCTTAAGAGGTCTTCTAGTCCAGGGGGTAGCCAACATTTTGGACCGCAGGGAGCACCAAACTCGTAATTTTAAATCCCACGGACCAGAGACCCCCTGAGAAACCCCCCCAAAGAGTCTGCAGGTAAATCTCCCACCCCATTTTCCGATTGATCATTCTTTATTTGGGATCGCAGGATACCGTCTCCAGCTCCGTTCTCAGAGGGAGAGACTTTTGGCTTCATGCAAGGAAAACAGCAGAAGCAGCAGAAGTCTTTCTTTCTCTCCCCCAAACTCTGCCAGAAATGCCAGCGCAGCCTCTTGGAGCAGGAGGCCTTGCAGGGTCCCAAAGACTCCATTTGTGGCGGAATGAAAGAAAGACTTTGGCTGCTTTCCTTGCATGCAGCCAAAAAGCAGAAGAAAGAAGCAAAAACAAGCAGCCCTGGTGGGCAGGAGAGGCACGTGGGGCAAGTGGCGCAAGTTCTTCCCCTCCGCCCTTTCCCCCCCTCCCCTCACTACCTCGTGGTGCTCGCAATGCAAGTGACGCAAGCCTTGTGTTCCCGCGGGCCATGTGGGTGGCGCTGCCTTGTGTTCCCGCACAGCCTGGATTAATTGCTTTTATTAATCAATTAATTAATTAGCATTCATGACTGTTAGGAAGTTTCTTCTTCATCCACGGTTGCTCATCTCCTTGTTGAGTTTCCATCCGTTGCTTCTTGTCCTGCCTTCCAGTGTTTTGGAAAATTAAGTTGACCCCCCCCTCTTCTTTGAGGCAGCCCCTCAAATATTGGAAGACTGCTATCTTGTTTCTCTTAGTAATTTTCTTTTTTTTAGGCCGGACGTTCCCAATTCGTGCAACAGGTTTAGCATAAAACGTAAGCCCGAAAATTCACAGTGGCTACCTGAAGGCAGGTAGAGTGGCTTCATCTACAGAGGATCCACGCTCCGAGGTTCCAATGGAGAGATCGTAGCCATCCTTAAAAGGGGATTCGGCAAAGACGGCGCCTGGCGGGGAAGAAAGATGACTTTTGAAAGTTGTAACTTACACTCCGATATCCCCAAGGCACAACCATTCATTCCTTCAAAGTTTGAATGCAAAAAGATAAACTGGTGAGCTTCAGGGACAAAGACAGAATAAAAGAATGAATAAAAGATAAAGGAAGGAATGAAGAAATGGGAAAGTAAGAAGAACATATTTTCTCATTCTCAAGAGGTCTCCCTTAAAGCATTCTTTGGCATTCAGTTCCGTCTCTGCCCTTCCCAGCTTTGAGTAAAAAAAACTTTTACGGAGAGAGATAAAAGGGAACGCAGACTTACTCAGACACGAAGCTAATCGGACGCTGTAGCCCCAGTAAAAGCCAGAGACGGTGCGGGGATTTTGTGACGATACGATGACACCCTTCTGCGTTTTGCTCTCTGCCAAGGGAAAGGCATCGGACGTGGTCAGAAGTTTTGATGTGAGTTTCTAAGGCGAGACGGAGGACTTGTCAAACCGTACCTGCGTTCTGCTTTTTCCCCAGGCGCACGGTGACACGAAGGCCGGCTTCCAATTGTTTATCTATCTCAACCTCCTGTAGGAAAAGACCAATAGCATGGAGTACCGCTTAGTCTGGGCGGGTCAGTCAAACCAACCGGTCAGTCTTATCTGTCCATCGATCCTTCTGCCCATCCAGGGGTGGGATTCTAATTTTTAACAACCAGTTCTGAGGGTGTGGCTTAATTGGGCCTGGCTTGGTGGTCATGTTATTGGCTGGGCGTGGCCAACTCAATATCACTCACATCAAGGCACGCATCTCCTCGCCTGGCCTCTCGTGACTGTGGGGATGCTGCAATAGTCATAAGTGTGAAAAAGGGTCATAAATCACTTTTTTCAGTGCCATTGTAACTTTGAATGGTCCCTCCACACAAGCAAAGTACCAGCAAAGGAAGGGGAAAAAAACTCCAGAGAAGTTCCTGAGACAGGAAGTCTAGTCCTGCCAAGAATGTAATAAGGGTTAACGGAGAGGCAGTTTCTGTAAGCAACACCAGAATGTTTCCTTCCTGCCTTCCTTACAGGATTAGCCCAGTAATTTCTTCTAACAACCGGTTCTCCAAACTGCTTAGAATGTTAACAACCGGTTCTAGGGAATAGGTGTGAACTGGTAGAATCCCACCCCTGTGCCCATCCATCTATCCATCCATGCCTGCCTGTCTCTTTCTCCCTCTCCGAGGTCAATCCTCTCCCTCCCTCCATTTATCCATGTCATCTCTCTCCAGCCAGCCGCCTGTCCGTCCATGTCATCCGTCTGTCTAGCCCGTTGCAGCCCATAAGCACCTCCCACTCAGCCAGCCATTGGCTGAGCAGCTGCCCCATAATGTTCCCCCTTCATCTCGGGCAAAGGTCTCCAAACTTGGCAACTTTAAGACTTGTGGACTTCCAACTCCCAGAATCCCTCCTCCAGTCCCTGTTAGCTCAGGAATTCTGGGAGTTGAAGTCCACAAGTCTTAAAGTTGCTGAGTTTGGAGACCCCGGTTTTTCTGACCTGGCTCAGCCTCCAGGGAATTACCTTCCGCATCCCACAGTTCACGAAAGAGCCTCGGCCAGGCTTGGTGGGTCGGGCCAGAACGACCCCTTCCCGATATTCCGACTCTTCGTCCATTCGGACATGGTGTGGACTATCCAAAGGGTTCAAGAGCCCTGAAATGACCCATGTATAACCAGAAATAGAATTTTTTAAAAAAATATATTAAAAGACGTTTCTACAAAAAAGGCGATTTTTCATTTATCTATTTTATTTTTCTACCTATTTACCTATTAGTTTCTTGAGGTTTCTTCTATACAGTCTTTATCCATCCTTCTTTTCCTTTTCTAGCCATATGTACCATCTATGCCAAGCTGAGTAATAGTCAGATTCTCCTTTTCCCCTTATTTTTAGTGTGAGCATATCCACGTCTGCACAGTCTGCTATTTTTTGTAAAATTAATTCTTCCGTTGGGACCTTATGCTCTTTCCACATTTGCATGTAAGCTATTCTGGCCGCTGTCAATATATGTAGTATGATATAATTTATCTTTTTCGGATATGGTTTTTTGATTATCCTCAGTAGGGATAGCTCCGGTTTGAATTCCACTTAGTGTCCTGTGATTTCTTGTATCCAATCTTTCATTTTAGTCCAGTAAGTCCAGGCCTTGGGGCCATTTCTCATACAAGCAGTCCTCCACTTATAACTTATATTTCTGTGGCTAAGATCTGCTGTTAACTGAATTGTCCCCATTTTACAAACTTCCTTGCCATAGCTGGTAAGTGAATCACTGCAATTGTTAAGCTAGTATCACAATTGTTAAGTGAATCTGGCTTCCCGATTGACTTCGCTTGTCTGATGTTCGCAAAAAGGGCATCACAGGTTCCGGGGACACTGCAACTGTCATAAGTACATGCCAGTTGTCAAGCACCTGATTTTTGCTCATGTGACCCATGGGGAGGCTGCAATGGTCATAAATGTGAACAATGGTTGCAAGTCACTCTTTTCAGTTAACTTCGAACAGTCACTAAATGAACTGTTGTAAGTCGAGGACTAATTGTAAAGGCTTTGTATAGTTTTATTCTTTTTACCTAGAATTACCCTGAGGTAAGATGGGCAGCCAAATAAATTTAATTAAAAAAATCCCGCAGCCACAAGGATCATGTTTTTGCAATGTTTTATGCCGGCTGGGGAATTCTGGGAGCTGAAGTCCACACATCTTGAAGCAACCGGGTGACGCTAATCGAGGAAACAGGAATCCAGCACTTACCAGCAAACTGCAGGTCCTGGTGTTTGGGGAAAAAGGACTTCCTTAGATACCTGTTCAAGAGAGAAGAGCTGTCGGTTTCCTTTAGACAACCAGGCAGGTAAAGCCAATGCCAGGTTGAGCAATTAACGATACACCTGGCACTTTCTTGGCTCAGTAAAAAGACGAACGTGGGATTCAGCAGCCAAAGAAAGAAAGGGAACAAGAAAGAAGAAAAGCCATTGATGCTCACAGGCAAATAAGAAATTAATTACATTAAAAAAAAAATTCTTGAACTCTTTTGAGTTCTAGTCCCATCTTAGGCACAAAAGCCAGCTGGGTGACTTTGGGCCAGTCCATTTCTCAGCCCAGCCCACCTCACAGGGTGGTTGTTACGGGGAGAATCAAAAGAGGAAGGAATCTTAGGGATGTCGGCTGCCTTGAGTTACTTATAAAAATAATAAAGGTGGGATATAAATAGATGAGGGATGGATGGATAGATGAAATGAGATAGATAGATAGATAGATAGATAGATAGATAGATAGATAGATAGATAGACAGACAGACAGACAGACAGATAGATATTATAGACAGATATAGATGGATAGGTGATAGATGATAGAGAGATGACAGATATAGATGATAGATAGATGATTGATAGACAGAGCGACAGATTTGATAGACGATAGATGCAGATAGATAGATAGATAGATAGATGCTAGATAGACAGACTACAGAGATGATTATAGAGAAAGGTAGAAAGAGATAGATATAGATGATGGATGGATGGATGGGTAGGTAGGTAACCAACCAAGCAAAAAGGCCGCAAGGTCACGATTGCACCTTGTTTTGTCCCGTTTTGAACTGGACAACCTTGGCAAGGGCAACTTACTGTGGGCACTCCAGGTACTGAAGGATCCGGGCCAGCTGGACGCAGGCCTGGCCTTTGCCCCTGATGCCCTCAAACTTGCCTTCGATGGTCCTGGAAGGCAAGCACTAAAAGTCACCAAGTGCCTCGAACTGGCGGCCCCTTTTGTAAAAATGCCATTTCTCGGCTCAAAATTTGCCCGGGTGGAAAAAAAAAACCCCCATCGTAACAACGCAGAGCCTGACTCTGTGCCACTCTGACCGGTGGCACAAAACAGGACAGAAACGGAATGGATTGGAGGCCGCCCCCTTACTTGGAAGTTTCTCCTTGTTCGTCAAACACCACAATTTCGTCCACACAGAAGATGACGCAGGCGCGGGCTATCTGTCCGGCCAGATACGTCCGCAGTTCAGGAGACTGGGCATTACTTAGAATCGAACCAGGAACAGCCACACTGACTGTGTAGTGCCGCCCTAGGAAAGAGGGAGAGAAATTAGGAAAACTCACCCCCCCCCAAAAAAGCATTCCTTCCCTCCATCTCTCTCTCTTCTTCCTTCCCTCCCTCCTTCTCTTTCTTTTGAACTTACTTAATGCTCTTTTCTTCTCCAGCTTTCCCCACAACAACAACCGTCTGAGGTGAGTTGGGCTGAGAAGAGGCCCCGACCCCCAAATCACCCAGTTGGCTTTCATCCCAAACTGGGATTAGAACTCACCGACTCCTGGTGATTGCACCAAGGTCACCCAGTTAGCTTTCTTGGCGAAGGCAGGACTAGAACTCACCATCTCCTGCCGATTGGCATCAAGTCACCCAGTCAGCTTTCATGCCTAAGGTGGGACTAGAACTCATTGTCTCCTGAGCCAACTTTTCGTCACTGCTCCAAACTGACTCCTCAAACTTGGCAACTTTAAGATATGTGGACTTCAACTCCCAGAATTCCTCAGCCACAGACTTCTGATCTAATCTAATATTACTGTATTAATTCAGGTTCTGGCTTTTGGGCTGCTGATCCATAAACTGGCAAGAAAAGGATAAGCCACCAAAAGAAAAAGAAACCTAACTTGGATTAACCCTCAATCCACCATGCAATGAAAATACACTCAACCACTCTTAGCCCAAGTTGCCTGTCTGAACCCAACCTTTCTCGTTCCCCAATTCTAGTCCGATATCCAAAATAGATTTCCTGCATTTTGGCAGCTACCTTTTTCCTCCGTTGGTTTCGTTTCTTCTCTCTCTTTCTCCATCTGCTCTCGCGCTCTCTCTTTTTCCAGCTTCTTCAACAGTTTTATCTCTTTCCATTTTTTCTTCTCTTCTTTTTCTAAAACAAAATTCGGACAGAGAAGAAACAAGCTCTCAAAAGCCATCAACATCACATTATTCTCCATTATGTTAAACAAACGCGCATACTGTGGTTCATGCACCCTGGTTTAGAGCAAGGGTTCTTGTGCCATCCCAGCCAATAATAGTTTATTCATAGCTAGATAAACCATGGCTTAGTGCAATGGGCTGGCCTAGCCATCAATTCAAATACCAATCTCCTTTCAAATTAAATTAAGATAAAATAATGTGGTACTAGTTTTGATTGGGTTAACTTGGGCTGAAATGTGTCTGGTTCCAGCCAATAGTACTTTATTTAATAAGCCATAGTAAAGCTAACTATGGGTCTAAACCAGGTATAGACTTGGATAACAGAATTGGAATCGGATCTGGCAAATTCCCCACCTTTTTATTATAGATTTTAAAAGGGGAAAAAATCACTTATTCAAAGTTTCTAGCTCTAAAGATTTTAGCCTTCTAGTTTTATGGCATAAATATTGTAGAAACTTGAGCCCTTTCTAAAAAATATCTTTTAAGAATCTGTTCTTACTTTCTTGTTTCCATTTGCGCCAATCCATCTTTTCTTCTTTTCCCTAAAAAACGGTGCAGAGATTTTGTCAAGTTTGGAAGGCAAACGCTGGTTTACTAGCAAAACCCAAGTTTCCAAAATTGTTCCCTGTATTCTGCTGCCCAACTGCTTCTGTAACCCCACCACGACAGGGCTGCCTCTTCTTAATCGGCTTTTCAAGTATGAAAAACACAGATTGATTGTATTTCTTACCGATCTCTTCTCTACCATTCAAAATCCTTTAAAAGTCTCCGTTTGGCTAACCTACCCGGTGTAGAAAACGGAAAACTTGAAACCTTTCCCCCCCCCCCACCCCTACTCCTAAGATGGGTTCACAAAAACAGGCTCAACCCAGGTTAAAAGAGCAAAAATATAAAATAATAAAGGCGGGATAAAAATTGAATAAAGAAATCAAAGGGACAGAAGGAAGAAGGTTAAGAGAGGAAGGCAAAAGGGCAAGAAGGGAAGAAGGAATGTAATCATTGAATGGGTGTGTTTGCATTACATGGGATGTCCAAATAATTAAACAGGATGAGGTTTGGATCGAAAATTAGGACCCACAAATTCACCCTTCATACCGGTACAACCCTGGGTTCCCAAAGCACTCCGACCCCACAGCCTGCCAACCCACTTTCGCCTGGGCTCAGAGGTTGTGTGAGTCCAAACTCACCCACCACCCCAACCCTCTAGAATGGACCCACCTCCCTGCCTCACAGTGGCACAATTAGCTCGCCGCCTCCCTGCCCTTCAACTGGGCCAACTACAAGGTCCATCGTCCACGGCCAACAACGGATGCGGCGGCGGCGGACAGTTAAACCTCCGGGATGCAATCCGCGCCAAAAGCCTTGTCATCCTCCACCCCGCAACGGGCAGAGGATAACCAGCCTCCCCATCGGGGCTGGTAAAGTTTTGCAAATCAAATCAAATCAATCAATCAAATATCCATTTTTGCATCATCTTTTTTTCCAATCCATTTTTGCAATCAATCAAAAATCCATTTTTGCAAATTCTCAGCAAAGAGAATTCAAACGCCGGCATGAATCTCTTCGCCCAGCGCCAGCGCATGGAAGGAACCTCCATGCCCAGGAGGAGTCTACCAGCCCAGGCACCCCCCCCCCCCCCCCCCCCCGCATGGCCCGGGACCATTGCAACAGCCCCACGCGCACCTCCCGCAGCCGCTTCGCCCCGCTGCGCTCCGCCATGTTTCAGCCAGCCAATCCCGGGCCGGCAACTTCCGGAGGCGGCCGCTGATTGGGTGGGGCGAGAAGGAGCCACAAACTAATGAAAAGGTAGAGAAGGGGCCATCCGGCTGCACAGGTGGGAATTCGCGAGGTTGGTTTTTATCCTTTCTTCTCTTCCATTTCCCCCCCCCCTTCCTTTCCCCTCTATTTTTTGTCCTCTTCCTTTCTTTTCCCTTTTTCTTTCTCCCTCCCTCCTTCTCCCTCATTTTTCTTTTTTTCTTTCTCTCACTCTCTCCCAACTTTTCCTTTTTTAAAGAACAGAATTCTTTTTATTGGCCAAATGTGGTTGGACACACAAGGAATTGGTCTTGGTGTAAATACTCTCAGTGTACATAAAAGAAAAGAGACATTCGTCGAGAGTCAAGAATCATCAGGTACGACATTTAAAGATAATGATTTCTTTCTTTCTCTTTCTTTCTTTTTCTTTCTTTCTTTCTTTCTTTCCTTCCTTCCTTCCTTCCTTCCCTCCCTCCCTCCCTCCCTCCCTCCCTC